GAAGAAAGATTTGAATGATTAAATTAAAAGGAAATGAAGCTGTTCCTGTGGCTAATATTGGACCCACAATGGTTTTTACTTGACTTTGACTTTTACACATGCACAGACATGGGCACTACATTGACAGACAGAGCTGCAAAAACCATATTAGCTAATGAGCTGCTGTCACAATCTGTCCTGTGCATGTGTTTGTGTTGGGGAATCCTCAGCCTCAGCTGATTATTGGGAAAGGTGTAGGAGACAGTCCGATTAATGAGTTGTGAAGCTAATCCTATTCATCCTCCCATTCACGTTACAGTCACATGGCTATTATGGCTTATTTTGATAGCCAGGGGACCCATGGAAGCCATAACAGATCCATTCCCACCCCTGACTCGGTGCATTACTACTGCTATTGCAACATTGAGGGGCTTTTGTCTCTTGATTTAACGGTCTATTTGTGATGGCTATGCACTTGAATGTAGCTGATGTCCTGCCTCTTTGTGGCCTTCATGCAGCATAGGAAGAGAATCCTGTTTTAGTAGCAGTTCAAAAGGGAGTTTCTGCCATTATGAAGACTCTAAGGAGCTTGGCTGAAGGCTGGCTGCACCCAATGTTTTAGGTAGAGTTAATGGGTTGTGCAATGTCTATAAGCAGGTGTCGGGTGGCCGTAGGTTGAGCTTGGGGAATGTCATTTCTCAAGGTTCTTCTGTTACCAGAGAAATGAACTGAGTGTGGTTTGGATACAAGGTTTTAACAATTTCCCAACTGGGATCAATAAAGTTAATCTAATCTAATCTTATTCCCAAATTACAAGGATGATGCACAAGTTGTTAACTAAGGTTACTCACCTTGTTTGAAGAATTGATGAGATTACATGTTTCATATAGAGCTTCTGTGTGGTAATGGGTTTTGTCTAGATATGTCTTTGTCTCTCAGGCCCATTCCTCTCTTAACTAAAACAGAAGTCCAAAATGTAATATTGGCATATGTTGGACTTACTCAAACTTAAACTTTGTGCAGTTTAATCCTCATCTGTTTTTTTCATCACTTGAGACATTTTAGAAATGGTTGGTTTCCGATCCTTTCCGTTTCTACATTTTTTTTCATTTTTATGGAATTACGCTGAAACTTGACCTCCAAGCTCAAGCATTTTCCACAGCTCCAATATATCTTGTTGCAGTTAATTTCTTGGAACTTGGTTACCTCTGTGAAAGTGCCGCAGCCTTTTGTGATACAGAAATCAGTGTATTCAGTGTCACCACGTCATTTCTCCCAAGGACCACACTCCTCAGTTGAAAAATTTAGGAGCACATAAAGAACCTTTTGGGGCATGATGAAAATTTTTCTTTGTTTTAGTAATGAGAAACTTATTTTATTTGAATAGAAATATAGTAGGAATTAAATTATTCCTCCTTCAAAATGTATTGTCCCTTTTGGCCCTGGTTGACCCAAATTCTGAAGATCTAATTTCTCAAATATATACCATTGAATATGAAAGAAAGAGAATAGCACCCATGACTGTGACATGTGGCAACCCAGTAGAATCCACTCTGTTGGATTTGTTGGAACTGCAGTTCACTTGTGGTTTTACAGTACGACAATTCTTCTCACACAAACTAATGATACAATGGTGTATAGAGAGCACACAAACCAACAACATCTATGAGTAAATGGTGACAGCTGATATGACAATCTGCTTTCAACGCTTGTTATCATAATGGCAACAACTCTCACAACCAAATAATGTTTTCTACCCCTATTTGCCAATGATTATTATTGTTGGAGCTTAGTGAACCTGTGTATCTTTCTAACCACAGTTTCTGAACTCAGTCACTCACTGCTGGGCCTAAAGAGTATTTTACCCAACTAATTTTCACTGACTTATGCAAAAGAATACTGCATTCTAGAGTAGTATTACTTGCTGAAGTGTCTTTAACCATGAACTTGCAGCTGCAGACTCTGCTTTTGGAAAATCATGCTGCCTTTTAAGGTTCTATGATTAATATTCATAAAAACTGTATTATCAATCACAGTTTTGGAAGTGAACTCCATTCAGTATCTTGTTGCTTGGGATCATGCTTTTACACCGTCGGTATGTACAAGCAAGCTTACTGACCATCAGCCAAAAGGTCACATTCATGAGACTGAACATGAGTGACAAGCATCATAAATGTGCTAACTAAAGTTGCACTGTTATTTGACGTTTTGTCTTTAAACTATTTTTTGGACTAAGTCTACATGTATAGGTGTGGAGATTGATTGGGCTATGCAAGACGTTGTTTTTAAAAAATAATTTGTTAAGTGTAATATTGTTATCAGCTGATAAGCTATTAAAACCTAGGCTTTTAAAGTTGAATAATAGATTCCTGTTGCCTCATGGTTTTTTGTACATGCGTGGAGTTTGTTTTGGAGTCTGCATTGTGCTGGGAGCTGGTCCTTTGTTGACATTAGCAAACTCTATTTCTCAGCTCTGTTAGCTCATGTCGCACAGTATTAGCAGTGTAGGGGAGCAGATGAGAGACATTGAGGTTAGGCACTTGAAAGCAGACATTAAACATCCCATCCATAAGATTTTCCTTGATAATTTACATTCCAATCTATTAACACTTATATTGACATATAAAACGTGATTACAAGCAGATTGCCTCACATTCTTATATGTAATACAATTAACAACTGTTGAAAGTGATCATTGCCTTGCAGCAGAGCTCTTGTGTTCACCTGCCAGGTGTGAATATACAGAGTAGAGTGAGTGGAGCTGATATATATATGGAATTCAGCAAACCTTTCCTTGATGAACAATGTTATTGATTTTCTCATAAACAATGAAAACGTTATGTAGTACTCTACCAAATTTGTTCTTATTATACAGCAGGTCAGGTAACCTGGTGGCCAATAACACATCACATAGGTGAAATGTTAAAGGTGATCTGTCCTGTTGAAGCAAGAGCCCAACCCATGTGTGGTCACATGCTGCAGAGTTGTCACATAGAGAGCAACAGCAAATGACAAATGTCCCAAATATCAAAATGTAGAACAACCAGTGAGCCTGTTGGGGACGTTATGTGAGAGTCTTATTAGTCAAAGTCGTGCATGTGGTGAGGAAGCTGGTCCCTGGCCCAGTGCACTTAAGGCAAGAGGATTAGACTCCAGAGTATTATTAGAGCTACTGATTATCCCCTTACTTGAGCCGCCTAATTCTAGCTCAAGCCCATTTATTTTAGCAGAAAAGTCAAAAAAAAAATGTTTTGATTGGGCTGAACAATGTGAATTGGCCTTGCTGTGCCTCAGCTCACTGTTGAGTCCAGCGTTGACTCTTTTGGTGTACTCTGCTGAACTCATTAGGTCCTGGCCTTTTGTCGCCGCCTCCTCCGCTGTAGGGTGCATGTGATTAATGCACTGCTGACCATTGAGGCCAGCAGCAAGGACTTGTTTTAGTGCCAGAGAACAGCAAACAAAAGAAAATTGTCTCTCCAAATAACTGAGGAGAATACAGGCTCTCAAAGCTGGCCAGTCCCTTGACTCATAGATGAATGCATGCAATATCTCTTCAAAAAGTTAAATACAAAGGTTTCCAATCCATTTGTCCTCAAGTCTACAGCTGTAATATATATTTGTTTGAATTTAATTACACACCCACTGCTCCTGACCTTGTGCCCAGAAAACAGCTTTGAGGCCTCTGTCCCAGACTGGGAGTGGGAAATCAAACGTGAACATGAGCTGCTAAATCCTGCTAACTGATCTGTCCGGCATAAACCCATGTAGAAGAGGCAAAGTAGTGTGCTTAGTGGTTTAGCTCCCTTGCTTTTTATGCTTAATGAAAAGTTAATTGGTGATTGGTTGAGGCGCTGCTGCAGCATACAAACAAGCACAGATAGGTATGATGAGGAGAGCGTGTGCTCCCATGTGTAAATCAGTGTGTGCATGTTCTGTACTCATGCACTATTTACAGTGTTAGGACTACTGCCAGGGTCAAGCTTAACTTTCACCTTGTCGAGAACAATGTTCTGACTAGATGCATTTTGTTGAAAAAAAGGTACCTCATGTAATCAAGAACAATTTGTTGGCAGGGTTTTGTCCCAGTTAAACACTACAGCAGCTCATTCCACTGGGAAAAGAACAATACTAACAATTAAGTTGACTAGAATTATCTGAAGCCATTGCAATGAACACTTTTTACTTAACATTTTGAGAAATATGCTTATTCATTTTCTCTCTGAAGTATAGTAAAGACGAGGATTGTTGCCAGTAAAACAATGAGAGTGAAAATTTGTCAGGAGGCCAGAGACATGGCTTAAAATGAATGCTAATGTTGCTCTGTATCTGCTGCTAAACAGGTAACATGTTAGCCATATCAGCTGTATGTCAATACTATGTTAACAGCTTGTTGTAGTACCCCAAGTGGCCAACATTATCTATTATCTCATTTTGTATGATATCTACATCTATATATATAGTGCTATGCGGTATGTTATATAGTATTATATACCACAAAGCTATAACGTCTCATTTGGTTCTTCTTTTTACAGTGTCCAGGGACATGAAACTCAATCCACAGCAAGCTCCATTGTATGTAAGTATCACCATTCATACTTCAAAAGCAGCAGTTTCTGTAGTGTATACTTTTTAGTTTCTCCAAAGGCCACTTAACACCCACACAGGTGTTCTTACTTTTTGACCTTTTCTCAGGACTGTGTAGATGTAGACAACTTCCATCTTTAGCATCATTGTTGATATTCAGTTCGATGATCTCATGTAATTCCTGGAATAGCCAAACATTTTTGGAACAGGAACGGGTCATTTAACTGGAAGTGCTAAAATCAGCTGTGTGGGTGTGCAGGGTGCAAATGTTTGTACTCATCCCACTGCCCTCAACTGTGTAGTCCATTCAGTGATCATGTTTTACATGGTATCAGTTGGATGAAATAAGAACCACTTGATGGTCTGATGATTTTATAAAAATAGACCCAGATAATCTCCGAAGAAATGACTAACATGAGACAAAAACAAGACTACTGATATGAAACATTTTTGGGGGTTATTTCTGGTATGTTGGCTTCTTCCATTCATATGATTTGTGTGTGTGAATGAGAAAGAAAAGTCTGTAGCCTACTTCAAAGTTACTTTTGTTCAGCTACTGTGTCTCCTGGGGTATTGGATGTTTGACAAAGAAGTAAAAGGCCTTTACTTTGCAGAAACAACGATTTTATGCAGTTAATTTCCCTACAGAGCGGAGCAACAAGAGAACCTTTGTGGATGTGGTGGATGAATTTCATAAGCCTCAACAAAACTTCTATGCCTCCTTTTGATCATGTGCAATGAGTTAAGGGTCAAATTGCAGATAATATCATTCAAAGCTTAGCGTTTTTTTATTTTGATTCGTCCTTGTTGTAACCACTTACCTGGGCTTTAGGGTCTTTCAACATGGTGATCATGTGATCTATCTTTCCCCCAGGTGTTGACTCTCCCCAAACATTCCCTGGTCAACTGGGATATGTACCTTTTTTAGAATATACTTCCTTTCGTTTGGCTGCAACCATCAGGGGTTTGCCACAGTTTTGCCATGTTTTTTATGTTTTTGCTGATGCAATCCTCCTTCTTATATGGGCTTGGGTTCGAGGAAGCGGGCGTCCAATTCAGGTTGTTCTCTCATCTGATTGTGTCTGGAACATCTCTGGAGTCAGGCGCCTGGGTTGTCTGCTTACCAGTGAAGCTCGATAAAGTTGTACCGGTGGAGGACATGAAGTTAATTGCCGAGGCCATCTCAGATCGCTGAAGTACCCACTATAGCTGCTTCCAAACCTTCTTGTGACCGCTCGTATGGATGTGCCATACTGGAGGAGCTGGACTGCCTGTGCAACCTGATCGGGCTGCAGCTACCGCCTCATGCTTCCAGGAGTGACAAGGACACTAGCAGAACACAAAACTAGAGAAGAAACAGTCAGGAAGGATAAGGAGAGAGCAATTGTCTGTGGCCATCACATGCAAAACCCTTCTCTTATTGGGGGGTTGTCTTGCTTTTGCCTTTCAATTGCACCTGTTGTTGCTTTCATTTAGACCAATTCAGGTGAAATTGGTCACTTGTGCTTCTCAAATGGACAGATTGATATCCCTGAAATTTAACTGACTAGCTGTGACAATAAAGTGCTCCCTTCATTTTTTTGAGCAGTGTATATAAAGCCCCAAATACTTTGTTTCCCCTGGTAGAGTATGGCATGTTTTTTCCCAGGAAAACACCTTTTCCTTTTTTCCTTTTTTGTATGAGGAGAATCTATGGCTCATTTATAACTCTGAATTATAGTTAGATTAGAAACAAAGGTTATATTCTATTAAAGTTTCAGTGTAAGATTTAATTAAAATTGATCTATTGGCAGAAATTAAATAATTCTAGTGATGTTTTCACTAGTGTGTTTCATCTAAATTGTATGTATTGTCTTTTTTCTTTAGAATGGGCCTTTTATATTCAAATACTTTATATTAACATCTGGAGTGGGTTCTCTCTACAGAGGCCTCCATGTTTTTACAGTAGCCTAAACCGAACAAACACCTTTTGAGTTTTTATGACAACTGAAGGCTACCACAGGTTCTCTTTCATGCTTGGAAGGGGAGCGTGAGGTGAGGGCTATTCAGCTGCAACATGCAACTTCACTACTAGATGTCACTAATTTCTACACACTGAACTTTTAACACATTTTTACCTCAATGCTTTTTGGGGGTTGAATTGGTTCTAAACACAATATGGTAGCATTTAACAAATCCCTAAATGTCTTCACTTTGAGTTGTGTAATCTGAACTGATTCATATTTACCCAGGGGGTGTTGTTTTGGGAAAAATATTGTATATCTGAATAGTCTAGTAGGCAAGGTACACAGGAAATGAGATAAGTCAGAACCATCTGTGTGTTTGTGCGTGTGTGTCTCTAAAGGCTAGACTGGTTCATACATTAACCACCCAGACAACCTTATCTGTGATTTACAGTCTGACTCTTCAGTGGAACCAGGCGTGTAATAAGGCTAGTCAGGCATCAGATTTTGGATACTTATCACAGCAGTTCACAGGGACAAGCTCATAGGGGTTAAGTAGTTGACCTGTAATTATGTTTTTTTAAAGACACATTTCATGAATTCTGCCATCCAGACTGACTTAAGAGGATGACCCTAGTTTGTTTGTCTAAATTTCTCATTCACTAAAATGGCTTTCAAACATGGACTGCAGACAGTGTCCAAAGGGGCTTTATGTGAGAACAAAAATGTATGAGAAAATATCTGGAATAGGTTTTGAGAGTCTATTTCACAGAAAGCTAGTGCACGTGTTGATGATGTTTCTAACATGCAACAGTTAAGATTCGTGAGCGTTTGTCAAGAGCTGACAACATTAGCAATGTGCTGGCAATGTGCTGAAATAATATCTGCGATTTCTGCAGTGGGGTTTAGACATTGTGTTCTGCCTCCTGCATGCTCGAACCATACACCACCCCTCCCCTGAATGTACTGGACATTTTCCTGTTGTTATGAACATGTCTGTCTGTCTCCATTTTAATGAGGCTGAAGGTAAATGTCTTATTGTTCTTCAAGAATGATTTTGGCCAAAGATTTTTTTTTATTTAGCAGGTAATCTGTATAAAAATTAAATAAAGGTTGATTGTTTACTTTTAATTTATGAAGCTCTTTAAAAATGATGGTGTTCTTTAATAACAAAGAGAGTCTCAGGACACGTGACATATCTCTTGTGTTCAGGTAACTGATGAGAAATAAACATGTGATCATGTCACAGGATTCCTTCACAACAAATCTCTACATTATGCTGTCTATACGTGCAAGGAGAGAATTATTAATTTAAGCTGCAAATAAGCTTAAAATCATCATTAAAAGCAGCCTCAGAGAGAAATCATAATAAACCAAGCACTGCCTTACCTGGTTAGCTGAACCCAGTACACTTGCAAGATGTGTGGAAAGGGCAACACTCACACATGCATATTTAAAAAGAGGGGGTTGGGTTCATAGCCTCCAGCTGTTCTTTTGATGCTGCTCTAAAGCTGCCTGTTCGCCACTGAAGTTCTGTGATTAGCAGGTCAATACCTCAGCAGGTCACTTTGTTAAGTACTTATTACCAGCAGAGCGTCGGTCATACGGTGTGGCTGAAAGAAATCTATTTGTGCATGTCACACTGCTTTAAACCGGCTGGTTTACTTTCCTGAGTTAAGAGTTTCATAGAGGTTTTTCTTTTATGCATGCAATTGACACTCCCGCCAAGGAGGTTATGTTTTCATCGGGGTTTATTTGTTTTTTAGTTAGTTTAAACTACTTAACTGATTTCCACGGAACTTGGTGGATGCGATATGGGTCAAGAAAGAAACCATTAAACCTTTGTGCAGATCCGGGGGTGGATACAAGAATTGTTTTTCACTTTCATCAAAATTGTGAGATATTTTTTCATTGATTTCTCAGAGCTGTTGGGCTGTGACTGTGTATGCACTCTGCAGAAATCTCTTTTGCATCACAGCTATTGTTACTGTCAGTAGTTGTGTGTGTGTGTGGGGGGGGGGGTGCAAAGGTTGCTCTGTGCAGCTGTGTTTCCTGCAGCAGCTCTGGCAGATGTTTCACATCTCTGTTTCTCTACCTCCACGCCCCTCAACCACAGGAGCCTTCTGACTGGCAATGATCTGTTGATATTGTTTTCTACTCTTTAATATTTCTTCTGTATTATATATATATATAATCAATCTGCTATGAATACATTTCAATTCATTGGGGATTGATTACAAGCAATCATAACTGAGAAGGTAAAAAGTAACAGAATTGAAAAAATATAAATTTTGTGTCATCTTTGGTTATAACAGCATTTCTAATGAATGACTATTACTTTGGACAAAGTGTGAGGCAGCTGTTCTGCTATCACAAATAATTTTAGCAGCTATTGTGTCAAAATGTACCTGTTCTCCTTTGTAGAGGATATGAAGGTATTTCACACTGGTACGTCTTCATTTTCAAATACAGTGCCAATTCACAAATGCATTCTGGTTCCAATCCCCTTAGTATCTCAAACCGTAATTTAGAGTCTGAACGAGACTGTATTTTAAGGACCCAATGGCCATTTAGTGTTGATTTGTAGTTGCAGAAAAGATAATTGTTTTTATGAAGTGTTTTGTTGTTTCTTAATATGGCTGGCAGCAGCATTTGGTAAGCATTTTTTCTCTTTTTTTTTTTGATCAATCTATTAATTGTCAGAATTTCTTAATGACCTCAAGCATCTCTTTCTGCATTATGTTGTGTAAAAAGGTTTTCATATTTACACGTTAGATCAAATATACACAAATAGAGTATATATCTTTAATTGGCCAACATATAAAGTTGTCTGACTGATATACCTCTTTAAGATGTTTTCTATCTGAGACAGAGCTGATACACTGCACAGTAATTGGACTTGGGAGTGATTGCTGATTGTATCCATTCACAATGCAGACAAAAGCAATGTTAGTGGGTGTTAGTGTATTTTTTGACCATTGGAAAACAGGCTATGTATCGTTCAGGCTTTGCTAATTGACTTGAGATGAGTTTTTAATGGAGATAATGTCATGCCTGCTAGCTTCCATCCATCTACAACTAATTTATATCAGTGCCTCGGCTGGTTAAAGCTGAGATTCTCTGTGCATAGCAAAGCATGCATCCTCTATGATGCAATTCGGTGCATTTAGTCCTGGCTCTCAGAAGGTTACTGCAGGCTGTTTCTCTTCCTGTGGCCTCTGGCTGTGTGGTCAGCGTTGAGCACATTTTCTCCCTCACATTGTTCAGCAGCATTGGCATGCCAAACAGAGACATGACAATCCCAAAGCTACTGGTTAGCCTCCCTGCTGTCCCCCCGCTATGGAGCAAGGCCTTGAGGCTACTGCCTCATAAGAGCGGGAAGAAGCACCTTTAACCTTGACAGTTGAGCTCTCCTTGAGACTAGCCTTCACTAGCTGCCATATTGGGATGTTTCATGTTAGACTGGTCTGATGAAAGGACTGCATCATTTGTCACATCAAGTGGGATGAAATGTCCCATTGTTCCTCCTCGCTGTTGACAAGCTGCAGTCCCCCATTGGAAAACAGCTAATTTCGAACAATATCCCTATTTTGTTTGCTTCTCCTCCTCCTCAGTCTGTCCTCAGATGACACTTCATCATATCCAACAATGCTCACCCACAAAGCGTCCAGTTGTCACTTTGGAAAAAAGGAGGCACTACAATGATCAGTGTATAATTGAATTTGACATTGGAAAATAAGTACTTTGGCAAGACGTTTTATATCATTTGGTTTGAAAAATGTACAGTAGTCTGAGACAAGATGTTGTACAAAATGTATTTAAACTTAGTTGATGTTGAATTTGATTCTAATATTTGGTAAGATTTCCTGTGAGCACATGGGCAACAAATAAACCAAAACCAAAATTGAAAACGTTAAACCCAGCAAACCACCTGATATGCAACGACAGCATTAGGCAGCAAAGCACATACATATCATTCAATCAAATTTTTGCTTGTATATCCCATGTCCTTAACCCTCAACAAGAGTAAGGAAAAACTACTAAAAACCCTATTAACAGGGGGAAATAAATGTAGAAACAGTGTATGAGCTAGTTGAAAATGGGTTGTTCAAATAAGCTGCTTTCAGGCATGCACTGAACTCCACAGTTCCTCCATATTTTTTCATGTGTGAGGTGCATGTGTGAATGTAAATGTCAGTGTCAGACGCTTCGCTGTCTCTGCGGAGTTTCTCTGCCTGGCCTCCTTGTATAATGTCTGTAGAAATCCAGAAGAAGTTGATGGGTGAACACAGAGGGGATTCCCACTGGAATCACCGCAAGCGAGTGGGGGATTTATTACGGTTCTAAAGCGCGACAGATGCAAAATTAAAGGAACAAAAAGAAAACAAATATATCCCAGTGAAAAAGTGGTGTCTTACAATTAGAAGACACAGACGACATGTGATCGCCGCAGCAGAGTTAATATGTCACTTCCTGCCTCTGCCCACTGCACCCGGTTGCTCCACCTCTCACCTGAATAATACGGTGGATTTGTTGCTGTTGTGAACGTGTCTATGCAGAGAACCTTGCGCTTTTTTGTGCATTTGTGAAAGGCAAACTACGGGTACTTTAACCCCCATTTTTTAAAAATCCTCTTCATGCCCCAAAAGCGTTAAAAAAGCTTTGTCTCGAAATAAATAACTCTCATTGCACATGACCAGACTTTCCCCAGAGAGACATGCACCGATAAAGCAGAGACGACAACCAGAACATGCAAGTCATGAAAAGTCTGCTTCTAGCATTTGTCAGACATTCATTTGTTTTTCAGGCGTAGCTTTGATGCATTTTTTTGTGTATCAGGCTCTTGCTTGCATTTCCAGGAATACCAATCCTAGCTTTAAACTAACATTGCAGACAAACAGACGCTTTAATCCATTTCTTTGACATTTGGTTGTTTTGGGTTGCTTAAAGACAAAAAAGAAATCCCACCATCACCGTATCTTCTTTAATATCTCAACACTCTTGTTCAACTCTGAAAACTGAAGGTCAGTGCTTTGTGTCATGTGCTCCAAACTGGAACAGATGGTTGTGGAAAGTGAATTAATGCTCTCAATAACCAGCATTTATTTCCATAACTGCTGTAGTTGACTTGAAGAGAATTTCCAGTATGAAGCAGGGCTCTGGCAAAGAGCATTGTCTTTAATTTCCCAGTGAAAAAGCTGGAATAGTTGATTTGAAATAACATATGAAGAAGTGATGCTGTTGATCATGTTGCCTCCTCCTTTTGTAAAACCTTTTTATCCTCCACTATCTCCGTAGTCTGAAACTGACAGAGCTCTTTCATTAATTCTTCAAATAGTCAAGCTGCTCCTCCATTTTTCATCCCTGTCCTGTGCCTCTGTGTTTGTTTGTTAATGATGTGATGGGCTTCATTTCAGAATCAATAAATCATTATCATATTAACTTTGAGGCATTAGTGTAATTGCAGCAAACAAGTATGGCTGTGTGAAAACTGGAAGTCTCCGCAATTTTTTTGACTTTGTGGCCCTGTTAATATTTAGGTCCTAGATGATACAGTTGTGAAGGTTAATAGTTCACAAATGACACCATGAATTGGACTTTAATGCAGCTTAAGTGATCAATGGTGCTTGGATTTTGCCCCCAGTCAGCGCCGCTGGAATCTAATGGTGGAGATTGTGAAGAATTCTGTTCTGAAGAATGGCTTTCTTTGCTTTCTGCTATAAAAATGTTTCCATGCATGTTCAGATGTTTCAACAGAGTTGTTGTGTTGACGGCCTTGGCAGAAATGCTCTTTTCACATATTCTACATTCTACTGTGCGCTATTGGCATTAAGCCTGATAAAATGGAGCCACATTTCTCATTTTTCAGTCGGTTTTTATAAACACTATGAAATTCACACTGTAGCAAGTCTTTGAAAATAGAACAACACACACAATACCAGGGTCTGGGGCTGGCGTATGGTGCTTTTCTTGCATACCTCTACAAAGTGGTTGTGTTTAGTTAGCCAGACAGTCACCAGCATTATTAGATCATGGTACAAGCATGCTGCATGCTTACTGGCTAAGTGACATTAGTGAAATTTGTATCTTTAGGTAATAAAATTTGGTGCTGAATGATAAGGCAGTTTTCAATCTATTTGATTTGACTATGGCTGAACAGATAAACTTGCTTAGTTGCGCCGCTAGAGAAGCAGGGTTGAGTTTAATTAGGTAGTAGTTAGTTAGTGAGTTAGTTAGTCAGTGGTAGTTTTTGTTTGTGGTTTTAAATATGTGGACTGTCACACACGTTCCAGCTTTGTCGTACACACTCTCTAATCTTTCTAGTCTTTAATGGAGTCGGGTGCATTCGTAACCTTCACCGTTTTTGTTATGGCAGTGCTTTATGAATAGGTGCATGCTTCCTTGATTAACTCCTGTTGTGGTCTAATAATTCAAATCCAAATGTATTGTTCCCCTTACACACCTGGTATAAACATGTGGGTTTTTTGATCCGATCTCAAGTGGACAGCTCTTAGTACAGGTGTGAACACACTCAGATCGGGTATAGATCTGATCATGCCAGACCACATTCAAAGGTGGTATCAACATTGATCACCACATAATGATCACCATAATGATCAATACTTTCCTCAAATTGGGGAAGCGATCTGAGATCCGATCATGAAGCGCACGTGGGGCCACATTTTAATGCCAGGTGTGAATGCATGCACTCAGAGCTGTCCACTTGTAATCGGATCACTAAAACCACATGTTAAGACCAGGTGTCTACGGGCCTTAGTTTATCTACATTTGGAGCTGTCTCTCAGCATCTGTTGAATCAGCCAAGTTGGATTTTAGTAAATGTGAACAGGGTCTTTTTTCTTCTTCATTAAACAACTACAATTTACTTGTTCATGAAAGGGGCAGTTCTTCCTTAAACTGATTCCAGTTACACAATTTTAACTGCAGAAGTTCAGCATTACCTCAGCTTAAAAAGGACAGCAGATTTACAAACACCACTCATGTGCTACATTTTGATATGATGAATTAATAATATACAGTATGCAAATTAATTTGTATATCTCTCTCAATTACTGTTTACATAGATTTGTTAATATATATTTTGTCTAGGGGTATTTGTCTCCTGCTCTTTTGTTGACAACTCTTTCTCTGTGCTGTTTTCTTCTCTATGTCATTTCCTCTTGCTGGCTGCCTGTCTCTGCAGGGGCAATGTGTTGTCACGGTGCAGCTCGCTGATGAAGAGCTGGCTGCGGATGAGGAGGGCGTGCACTACTTCCTTCTGTTTGCTGGCAGCACACAAAGGCACCTGACCAGCACCCTAAGGAGCAGTCATGACACCTTGCAGGCGGTGTGTCCCGGTAAGCCACCCCGCCCACAATGCATTGCAGCTTCACTGTCATATTTAATGGACCTGTGGGAAAGTGGCTCCACCTACAGTAATGAATTAATAATAAATCTATTTAAATTCTGAAGACAGTCATTGTTGTAGGCACCTTAGCTCAGTCTAGGTTAATAAAACATGGAAGGAAAGTTCTCTGAATGCAGCATCATTGCAAACTTATATGCTGCAGATCAATAACATATATGAGAGAGTCAATATCCCCCCAACAATATAGTCATATTTACCAAAAGGTGAAAAAAATACAACATCTCCTGTAAAGGTCGATCCTCTATAGTGATCAAGTGCTATACAGTAACCCAACATTAACATTAAGGGATACCACAGCATGCCACAATGTCACTGTCTGAAACAGTTATTGCTTTTAGGAACAGGATCATGGGGCAGTCAGGAGTTATTGTAGGGGAGGAGGAAAGTCTAAGTGATAAATGATTCATCATCTACTACCACCACCACTTTCCTCGTTATTGAAACTAATATTGTGTTTTGGAGAGAGAAAAATCACCTTACTGAACCTAAGTTCATTGAGCCTGGTTCATTCACTCTCCTCTGAGCACATCCCACTTTTACCCAGTTCTCCAATACTCAGAGATACTTCTCGCTGAGTTGAATGAACAACAACAGGTGGCACTGAGATCAGGGGGCAAAGGTCACAGGGCACAGAAAATAGGTGGCAAAAATGCATAATAGTTGTGATCCTTTCATAAACATGGTTTATGTTCTCAAATGTTGAGAAAGACAAAAATATTAAATTGGACAAATTAAAAAGACATTGTTGAGCTCTTTGAGCCTGCGTGTTGACAGGAATAAAGAAAGCAGGACATGATAAACTGTTATCTTGTTAAGAGCTCGCCTGAATTAACGCCAACGGAAGGTGGGTAGAAGGAGGTGTGACTCCTCAAACAGATTAGCTCTGCTTCGCTGCTTCTTCCAAAGGGCCGATCCTGTGACCAACCAGAAGTTCGCAGGATAGAATACCCTGGTGGCCTGGGAAATTAGCTGCAGATACCCAGAGTTAGCGCTGTAGTTTGAGCAAGGAACTTGAGCCTGTTTGTTTAATGAGATAATAAAGCTGCTTTCAGACATGTGCTGAAACATGCAATTTTCTGGAGTTGCTGTATGTGAGAATACAAACGTCTGAGTCAGTTGCTCCACACATTTTTCGGGACTATTCCTGCAAGCCCCCTAGTAAAATCCGTCAAATTTTCAGAGTGACCCAATGTGAGAATACGGTAGGAAGGTTTTTGATTGGGCATGTTTATTACACATGAGGGATGCAAAACTGAAAAAACACCAATGTGTTCGGACAAAGAGGAGGTGTCATACATGTAGAAGATGCAGACAATGTCAGCTTTGAATGACAACAAATTTGGAGAACTGAAAGTGATATGGTCTGACACTGGTGTTGATTTGCTTTAAACAAAACCTTTTTATTCTGCAGTGTAATTTACAAGTCATGTTCTACCTCCTGCAGTTTTGAAAATATTCCTGCAATCTCTGAGACAGAAGTAAAATCATTGTAACAAGTAAGATCATGTTGAGCAGGAAGTCACTGAATACATTTACATTTACAACATAGAGCCTCTACAATCTGTTAGCTGTGTTTTGACATCACTACAGTCCTCTTTGTTCATTCCATCTGTTGTGACGGAAAACTCATAAGAATGAACTTTGGTGAATATGTTTTGTGTTGTTAATTTCCTGGTAGGTCAACTTTGATTTGTGACTGCTGAACAGGTTGTGGTGAGATGAATTGAAAAACATTAAATTAAGTCAAATATTATGTTTTATTTGTATGAAATTAATTATATTCAAACCAGTCTACACTGTGCTGTAGCTGGTTATTGTTAAAGAGTTGTAAAGAATTGTTAATCTAATGAATAATAATGTAAGGTTTCAACGCATGTCTATTTACTGTGTCTGTATGAAGGTTTCATCACCTCTTCCAGACAGAGTTTAGTCAGATAACAGAACATCGAGCTGTTTTCAGACATGTATTATGTGAATGAACTGTTTGCCTTTCACATATAAAGGACGCATCAGGAGATGTTTGGGTCAGATAGACTTGTTTTTGTTTACAGCAAATCAACATCTCCAACAGCTCTCGAATTTCATTGTCTTTGAAATTTGACATTTTTGTCTGCATCTCCACTTACCATCTGTTACAATGGTGAGTGGAGCAGGAAAAGTTCCGGAAAATGTCTGAAGCAGCTGCTTCGGATCATCATCGATATCAAGCTTTTTGTATTTACTTTGCTTTTTAGCGGACTTTCTTCACAGGTCACAGCCACTGCACATTCACCATTACAGGTCTTTCATGGTTTTTGTACCATGTTAGCCACAACTAGCTAACAACTATTCATGTTCATGCAACACAAGGACATAAAAAAATGCATATGCCAATTACACTTAACATTATTAAAGGCTTGTTTAAAGCACATGGTTGACATTGCAATATACACATATTGATATCCATTTTATTCTGTTCCGTGTTCATTCCTTTCTTCCTGTCTCCTTCCTCATTGCATCATCTTGTAGCCCATGACTGCTGCGAGGGGGTACTGGTCACCTTGTGCTCTGTCAGCCAATTTGTCCCTGAGGCCCCAAAGAAAGACCTACGCCTGGGTAGTGTGTCTCCACTGGGCGAGCAACGATTCAGCTTCGTCCAGGATTTGGCTTTTGACATGGCCCAGTTTCTGGTGAGCAACAAGACGAGTCATTTCCATTTCTGTATCGGCTGTAAAATGACAAGAAAAGCTGCGGTTTGTCATAGAGCGAGAGGTTAACATGTCACTGTTTTTTTCTGACAATGTCTGATGTCTGACAAATGTTACTTTTATCTGAATATTATTTGCTTTTTTCAACACAGCACAATTCTGAGTTTAGTGTGATACATGCATGTGGATTTTCATATCTTATGTATTCATACAAATACATTTTAGTCATTTAGCTAATGCTCTATGCTGAAGCTAATGCTGAGCGCCTTAAAATGGGTGCTTCAAGACTAAGCCTCAGCTTTGGAAACTTGACTCATGTTTGTAATCACCCTCCAAACAGGTGAGCACGGCAGGTCGAGCTGACGCCCTAGATGGAGCGCTGCTGCTGGATGAGTGTCAGATTCCTCTGCGGGAGTGTGAACGTCTGGATGAGAGCCTGGCGCTGGCCCTCCAGCATCTCGCCCTGCCTCTGGGATGGACCTTACTGGGAAACAAACCAACCAACATCACTGGTGAGACTGGAGGGCAAGTCCTTACTTACAAGTCAAAAAACCTGTCAAAAAGTTGTAGAGTAGTGCTACAATTACATATACAGTATATATATATATTTGTGTTGTACTAAAACACTGTCACTGTCACCAGTTCAGTGACAGAATGAACACATTTTACATTAACTGTAAAATACTGCTGTTAATCATGGTCTGCCGTCACCCTCCCCAACACATGAAGGTAGTTTGTATGGATGCGTAAGTTATTCAGGTCTCAAAACACTATAGTCTGAAATCAGCTATGACACTACCTTTGTCTGACCTCCACAGTTTGATGTACTTGCTAGCTTTTAAGTTGAATCATTAGATGCCGTTATCTCTCCAATGCAATTAGAGAAAGAACATCATTTTAAAATAAATTGGAAACACATGATACTGTAGAAACTCTTTGTAGAGTTTTCCATGTATGGAAGAACTCATTGAGTCTTCCAACTACCAGAACCATGCAGACTGCAGGGCACTTAAACTGAAGACTGTCTGTCTACAGTATGTCTGCAATATATATATATACTTATTTTTTTACATCTTGTGTACTAGTAGGGAATTACTATCTTATAATAGCCTATTTAAAATGTAATAATCAATCCATCCATCCATCATTTATACCACTTATTCTTTTAAGGGTTGTGGGGGAGCTACAGCCAATCAAAGGGCAAGAAACAGGATACACCCAAGACAGGTTGCCAGTCCATCACAGGGTCAAGATACAGAGGCAAACAACATTTTAAACTCACTATCAAATTCAAGTCTCCAATTAACCTAACCCCGATCTGCATGTTTTTGTAACGTGGGAGGAAGCCAGAGTACCCAGTGTAAATCCACGCAGACGCTGGGATTTGATCCAAGATCTACAGTTCCAACCACTTTGTCACTGTTCCATTTCTAGTTTGATATAATATAGAATCTAATAATTTAATGATATGTTAATTGTAATTGGTAAATGCTCTGTATTCATATAGAGCCTTTCTAGTCTTTATGACCACTCACAGTGCTTTGCAGTGCAGTTTATTGCCATTCACCCATTCACACACACATCCATACAGTGAATCTATGGGCAGCACTTTTTTCTGAGGGGCAATTTAGGATTCAGCATCTTGCCCAAGGACAGTTCTAACACCCCTCAGCTACAGCCGCTCAGATGTTTGATATGTTGTTAATATTATGTTTACAAGTAGACCCTGTTGGCTTGAGTATGTCCCTTGAGAAATGTAACTGCAGGTCAAGGCTCCGGCTGATAGCACTTTGATACATCAAGAGCTGTGATTGCCGATTTTCTCTCACATGTTTCTAATGCCAGCGGAGATTATCTGGTCCTTTTCAATAACACACATATCGGAAAACCATCTCCACTGCATGTGAATGATGGATTGTAAACATAGTATGAGGAATGTTGTTGGAGCACAATATAGCCCGAGATATTCATCCAGCGTTGCAGTGATGCTATCATCACTGATTTAATTTATTTATTAATAACACAAAAAATATTTTACTGAAAACATTTGGTATAGCAGGTCTCCAATACATGTGCTAATTTCTTCTTCTATATTTTGGCAGTCTAGAAACTGGCGCTGCACGTCTTCTTTGCAATGTTACGACATGCATTGAACTTCCAGGCGTTGGTCTGTAAACAGCCATGAACATTTGTGTACTTCTTGTTTTTGACATCTTGGAAACAATGTGCAACAGTAATTTTTTTCTTCTTTGTATAATGCAACAGCGAGGTGGGAAAGCTTCTCAGTTTCAGACACGTTCTTTACATCGAACATGACTCGGGGGTTGGGGGACAGAATGGCAACCTCTACTGGTAATAGGAAAGGAGTCAATCGTCTTTATTTAGTGGGATGAGCGGTGAACCTACTAATTTTAGAGTATAAGAGGTATATGACTAATATGAAATGTGAGTTCATGTTTACATACAAAGTGTTTAACTTTGCTCATTTTGTGTTTAATACGTACCAACAGTGCACAAAAAGTGCTTTGATTTGCTGGGTTAAAGTCAAAACCAATGCTCGTGTTTCACATTCTTAAAATCTAAGGAGAAGGACTGTGCTCTAATCTGGTGGTGTGACACTCTGACAGTCTGCATGTATATCTGTTCGTCTGTTTCTGCACTTCTTGTAACCCCATGCAGACTGGGCCCTTTTTGGTGCCTAGCACTTTAAAAAATATACAACTTACTTACTTATTAACACAGCTCTAATTGGAGAAGGAGCCAGAAAATATCTCCAAACAAATAATCACTGAATCTGTGTAAGAATATATTGAAATTGTACTTACTAAATGACTTAATTATGTTTTCGTGTTATCTTTAGTTGACACTCAGTGGATATAATGCAGCCCATTCGAATCCCTCTCTTACAAACAGGAGGCCAGTGAGCTCAGTGTAGTTGATAGCTTTTATTCACAGAACGACATGAACATGAAAATATGTCAGTGAATGGACTTTTCATCTGACTCTGTCATTAGTATGATCAGAGCCTAGTGTCACAGCATTACAGTTAGGAGAAATGGGCATGTCAGTCTAAACAAACATACATCTTTATCAGAATGAAAGTGCCAATTTTTTCCGTTGCCGTTGACTCTGATGACTTTAATCAGTTAAAGGGAGTGAAATGAGTTGATGTGGATGATAACCTCTGTGAGATAATTGCTCTCTGTGAAGCGGCGTAAACAAGACATTGGGGAGTAGTTTGAGCACTGCTGCTGCCTCTGGCTGTTGTTAAGATAATAGCTCATGGTTTAGCTTGTACTTGGAGATGAGACCAAACCAGCAGGATTTTAGAAATAACTGACAAAAAAAATGAACGGAGATGTCTCAGTCAGTGTACAGCGGATATTGAAAGTTTCCACACTGTTTCAAATGTTTTATTCATTGTTGGTAGCCTGGAAGGAAAACTCATCAAATCGCATTCTCAGTAATGAACTCCCTCCTGATTAGATAAGATCCAATGTTGTGAAAAGTGTTATGGCTGTTTTGAGATGGACACATACACACACACACGCACACACTCCTACTGTCTCCTTGCACTGAAGTCTGTTGTCATGTTGCTGATGTGGAAGGCGGCTTCCAGCTGCGGTGAGTGATGTGTGCTCTAATAGGCTCTGCTTCACAATATGTCAGCACTTCAATACAAGACGCTCAGCTGCAGTGGACTGTGGGGAGGAAGAGGAGTACGGTTCTGCTCTCCATTTATCAGATCTGTCGGATGATGGATAGCGGCGGACTATAGGTGGAGGTGGCAGTGGTTTATCTCAGTCATCCTTCACGCTGTGGACATGCAGCAGTCAATGATCTCAGCATTGCCAGTCATTTATTGTCCTCCGGAAAATTAACTTCTCTTGAAAGAACAGTGCTTGTCATTAAAAATGGTGAACAACACCCCCTTAATTCATCAGTTTTGAACAGTTATTAACATTTGCTGTCACATTATCTGTAGCCTGTGGCTTGTCAATCAATACCAATGTGCTGGTTGTTCAATGAATGAATACTGGTGTCCAAAGGCCTTTGTTGTTTCCTGCTGAAACAATTATTGGACACTGTAAGTCCATATTCTATTTCTTTCACTTTTTTTGATCATGGATTGTTTTGGTCATCAACAAGCTTAAGGACTTCATTTTAACAATCTGAGCCCATAATTTTGTTTGTTTAAAATTGTAAAAAAAAAAGGTTGTTGCACCAGGCTCATGGTTCTGAAAGGTTGGGCTTAGTCTTTTGATTAAAGCTAGAGTTGGTATTTTGTTCCTGAAACACTTTTTTATCTTATTTGTTAAAAACCTCTTCACATAAAAACGGCATCAATCAATTAAGTTGTCTGGAAAAAAAAAAGAAAGAAAAAACAATGTCTGTGGCCTTCGCACGGTTGTTTGAACTAACTGTGCGCACCCTGCCTGTGCTCTTACTGAACATGACCAGAGTCTGCACAAGCTGGAGAGGCAGACAAGGTACCCAGAAGTTAGTGAGCGAGTCACTGAAGAGTGGGCTTATAGCAGTTGTCAGTCGGTGCACGTTCATGTGTTTTGGGGGTGTAGCTTTAACGAGAGGGCAGATGGGAGGGTGTGGGATGTATCGGTTTCATATTGTAGCCTGATATATGCTAGCTTTTCCAGGATTGCCAACCCTAGCTTTAATCATGTCATTGTGCCATCTCCCATTGCCTTCTAAAGCTAGGTGCCCTTCCACTTAAACAGATTGCTATCATAAAGGCGGATTTGCCAGGAAGTAAGAAAACGCTTTCCCTTCACACACAAGCAGACCACCTGTGTGTAACAGGCACAGTGTCTGTACAGTGAGTGCCTGCTCATGTTGGCACACATTTCTATCTTGATAATGCGCTCTTAAAATAACCCTAATACTGCACCACTGACTCCACACGAAACAATGTGCCTGACCACACCTCATTTTAAGACCAGCACGCTCTGATGGGCACAATCGCATTTGCTATTTTACAGGTCATTCCTCAAGGGATAGTGGAAGAATTTCTGTACCAAATCTGAAGATAATTCGTCCCATAGTTTTTGAGATATTCCAGTCTGGACCAAAGTGGTGAAACAAACGACTGTCACTGCTTTCCTCTTCATACATTTGGGGTTTGGGCTGTTGGTTGGACATTAGTAGCAAAATGTCACTTGTGGCTCAGGAAACTTTAGATTTCTGATATTTTATACCAAAT